GTTGAAGATGAACTTCCTCAAAACAAGGTTCTATTTATTTATGAAATATAACTCATTTACCGTCGTCGTAAAACATTTTTCTGACAACTGAAATGAACTTTAAAACCAATTTTCCGAGCTGTCAGATCTATTATGTAGTTATTAGAACTTCTTGTTGGTAGGTAGGAAGGCAATTAAAAGTTTAAATTAACAGAAAGGCTAAAGCATCAATATCTACAACGTTGAAATTCAGAATAATTAGACTTGCTGCTTTTGTAGCATCTTTAAACATCTACCTACACTGAAAAGTAGGTATACCTATAGATGCATAAATTACAAAGTAAAACTTTGTAAATTTGCATTAGCACTAGAAATCAAAGAATTCGATTATAGAAACAGCAACGACAATTTGTTAAGGGAGGAGGTAGTACCTAAATAATGACTTCACCAAACACCAAAACTAAAGATTGGAGGCAAACTTACAATCTCAGAAGAGATTTTGTCTTAAAATTCATTTTGTGTAAAACTATACAGGGTGTAACAGAAATATTAAGTGCCGATTCAATTCCGGTATCAATACAACCCGCAACGCTGTACTTAGTACCAATATGGTATTTCTTTTGTATTTTTTGCTCATGTACTTTTTATTGATAGATTAGATTATGTGTGATTCATGGTGTTTATATGCTAACGGTCAACCTCTAGTAGCCGTTTATCGCCGTTGTAACGACAAAATCCTCGATTTCAAAGAAGATGATCCCCAAAATAGCGCACGTAAAATAGCAGAAAACGTTAACTCCTCATACGACAGTGTAGTGAACTTCAAAGGGACAGTTGCTGCATCCTTATCATTTGCAGCGAGTGGAAGCCTTACTTGAAACTGGACGCCAGGACCGGCTTCGAATCGTAAATTGTTGTGATTTTCATAAAAAAAGACGTTTTGCTACTAAACTCACCGTATTACAAATAAAAACGTAGTTTATGAGCGAGATTAGGATGCCAGAAATTGACCTATGTTAAGTAAAACTGTCGCCGCAGGAGTTTCTTACTAAGTTGACTTTTACAATATTACCAATACGCAATAATCAAATTTATGTACCTATAACCCATCTGTATAAATTGATAGATTACATCCAAACGATAAAATGCAAAATGAACATGGGGATGTAATAACTGCTAGAAGTTGCCGATTGGTTTACCATGAAGAGAACCATAACTTACCGAAAACAATCATTTGTCTATTAAAAGTATAACTTACAAGTTGTTGTTGGTTTGTCATTGTCATTCATAATTTCATGAAACCAATCTTCCTTCGTACAAAGGAATAGCAAGGTTATTCCTAATTAATCACTAGTTGAACCTTGATGAAAAATTTTATTTATCTATTCCTTAATTATTACTTCCATTTATTGCGTTTCTGATTCTAAAGAAATCTGAAGTATTTATTCAAAGGCTACTTCTTTTTTATTAAATTAATGTAAATTCCTTGCTGCTATGACGCCCTGAGTATGTTTATAATTAGTAAGTAAAACGGCAAAGCTGGTAAGGATAAACGCGAACTAGATTTTTATAGTAAATTATGACTGTAATCCTTCAATAAATAAGTATGCTTTGTCGATACGTATATTGAAAGTAGAATGTACTTAGAAACTTTCTAAGAAGCAAAGTAAATAACAAGTATCTATGCTTAATTTGTGGGAAAATTGTGCACTGAAAGACGAATTCAGCAAGTGTTGTCATGCAATGAACAGTGATAGTGGCATTTGTGCTAGAAAGCGACCAAGTGTGCATTGTTAAAATTTCTTTAACCATTTTATCAAGTGAATTTGTTTCTCTACGTATTTTTACAAATCGAAACTATTACGTCAATCAACAAGGCTACTGTAGCCATCTTTCGTTATATAGGAACAAAAGAGAAACAATAATGATGTTATTTGTGATTACGTCACACAGGAGTACTAACTTTTATGCTTGTAGGCGTCAAGCATTATATGAAAGGAAAATGGTAAAAAAGAAAATATCGTCCGTTATGACGCAATAGTTTCAATTTTAGTAAAAAATCATATATTTTATGTATGTTATGAATACCGGGTTTGTTTATGTTTTGATATTTTGTCGAAGCAGATTGCATCTGTTCTGTGAGAGGTCTTTGATGGTGGAGCGGGTAATATGGACGGTGTTGGTGTATAATATCCACACTGTTGGTGTCAACATCCTGAGCTTGATGATCTTGGTGTGACGGGTAGAGTTCCAAATGGAAACTGTCTGCTTGAAAAGTTATGCAGTTAATAAGTAATATTGAGCTGTGACACCTATTCATAAATGTGTCCTGTATGTAGCTTTTTGCTGGAGTATTATAAAAACATGAAACATTCTGAAGAAAACTTAATTATTGTTTAGTTCTTCAAAATATTTACTTGGTGAAATAATTACATATTATTATTGAACAGTTTAGAGTTAATGATATATTTTTGGTTAACAATAGTTTAATCCTAAAAATTGGACAAGAAACTTACTTATTTGCTATTAAAATTTTATGTGTTAATTAATTAAAGATTATTCCCTGATTCTAAATGATTAGAAAAGTAAATTCGAAACTGATGTTTAGTCAATTTCATTAATTTGTTATTTTATTATTCTCTACGTCACTTCATTACGTAAAAATATTTAAATACCTACTGCCTGAGAATTAGAACAATCGCCCCAAATTACGTTCTTTTTTCAATATGAAATAAAAATGCCAACCTTTTTAGAGGTGTTGACCTTTATTTCGATCACATTTTCATTTTTTTTAGTACTTAGGGACATAGCGTCTGTTATTTCAAAAATATGGCGAATGCGCTGGGTTACAAAAATTTACAATTTGAATTAATTGTTAATGCGTATTGTGTAGCAAATTGGATGACATCGAATTCACTATTTTGTGGCAGTAAAAATCTAAAAACGTATAACGACTACCTAGGAGATTAAATGAGTAGTGAAATAAGAATAAAACAAAGCGTCTTTTTTTGTTGAATTATAAGGAAAGGGTAAGATGCCATAAATAATTGTGGCTGGGCGAAGACATGGACTGCTGGGCTCCATCGATTACCCATTGTGTTGTACTACTTGTATTTTGAAAATCGATACGTACAAGACCGCGATCCCCCCTTTTTAACCAAACTTTCAGGGTAAATGTAGATTTATATTAACAGTTACAGTTTGTAAAGGTATTTCGACTTGACCAATGGTGATTATTTCATGTTTATATATCGAGGTCATGATCTATATAGGTTTTAAGCATATAAAAAAATCGTAAGGACACAAAAAATTACTTTTTAAAAAAAAAGTCAATTCAAAAATCACGTTTTTTTTGCTTATTCCATGCTTTAATATTCNCTAAAAGCCTTTTTATTTTAATGGAATAATATACGGGGTCTAGCCAAAAAGTATCGTGAATTTTGTGTTTTTTCAAAAATTATTTATTGTTTCATGAATATCTATTTTGTTCCCTTCAAAGTAATCCCCACTAGATATTATACACTTGTGCCAACGTTTTTTCCAATCCTCGAAGCACCTCAGAAAATCATTTTTTGTGATCTTGTTCAGTTTCTCCTTCAGTACCGCCTTTATCTCCTCAATCGTAGCGTAGCGTCATCTTTTCATGGGCCTCGTCAGTTTTGGGAACAAGAAAAAGTCACAGGAGGCCAGATCTGGGGAAAACGGTGGCTGCACTCTATTATTAGAGTGTTGTTTTTGGCCAAAAATTCGCTCTCAAGCAACGATGTGAGCAGAGACGCTTTCATGGTTCAAAGCCAATTTTTGTTCTTCAACAAATCCGGGAATTTCTGGCGGATTGCTTAGCGTAAATTGCGCATAACTTACCCTGTGGCACCACGCCCCTGCGATCGAAGAAAACTGTAAGTTAAACCTTCACATTCGACTTAACTTGGCGCGCTTTTTTCGGTCTTGGCTCGTGCGGCAGCTTCCATTGGGATGATTGACCTTTGGTTTCTACGTCATAACCATAAACCCGTGATTTATTACCAGTTATAACCCTCTGAAGCAAATTTGGGTCGTCGCGGACAGAGTCCAATAGCTCCTTAGCAATGTTAATGCGATGCTGTTTTTGGTCGAAAGCAATTTCGGTGCGAATTTTGCGGTTACTCCTCTCATGTCCAAATCATTAGTAAAAATCGAACGGCAGGAGCCAATCGATATGTTTAGGTCCTCAGCAACTTCTCTAACGGTGATTCGACGATTGGTCAATATTATTTTCTTCACTTCATCAATGTTTTCGTCTGTCTCTTCGATTCAAGGTAGCTTCACCATATGCTATAGTCAACATTTGGAATCTACTTCTATTTTGACGACATGAATTTCACAGAAGTGTTAAATTTCTTGAAAAATAAATATCTACTTTAAATTTGCTATTTTTGTAGTTTATCTCTTTATGTATCCTCGTTCATTTCTTTTTAATTATCTATGACGTGACAAATTATGTAACTTAACACGCTGTGAACCTTAACAATTCAAAAAGAAAAAGGATTTTTGATTTTACTATTATCTCTTTATTAATTTAAAGATTCATACTTTTATTCTTTTGTTTTTTTCCATACGAAATTAAAAATTTTCAATTAAAGCAAATTCTAGTTGGAATATCAATTTATAGTGTCCGTTACGTTACTGGTTTCCGTTACGTTAGGCCCTCAAAATGAAAAAATATTTCAATAAGTAAGATATCCTTTTCTTTCTGTAGGTGCTCGGTTCTATTTTTTTTTCTTATTAGCGTCTTCGTTTCTTGTTTTCCGAGTGTTAATTCAATTTTATCAGTTTTATCAGTATGCAAATATATTAACGCCTCACCCCGACAGAATTTTAAATTGTTCCTTAATTATCTTTCGATTGCTATTTTCGAAGAAAATCAAACCTAGGAGGAGGCTAGCAATGGTCGTTTTGAAACTGCTAACCGTGATGGTTGTTGGCAGTCTTTGATCCTAACATCTAGGTACATATCAATTATTTCATTTTACTTCTTTTACCTCTTTATATCCAGCACATAGGAAAACGTCATGTATTGTTTCCCTTCTACCAGCCGCTCTAAACCATCTTTGGCATCTATCGTTTGGTATAACTTCAACATCTACTTCTTGTAAAACGGAGGGTACCGTTGCTTGTCCATGTCTTGTACGACCCCATCCCGCCACGGTTGCCCTTTTTCCAACCAGTTTAACCTTAAAAAGAAACAACAATATCCAGTATAATTAAACGTTAAAGAAAACCACCAATAGAAGAAAACACCGCTAAAGAGTATGTACAACATTTTCTAATTGTGACACACAAACTGTGGAAAGAACTGAATACTTTGGCAGTAGCTATAGTTAAGAAATTCAAAATTGGCAGAGTCCGCAATAAAACTGTCACATTTACCTTCTTCTTTCAACTTACTAACTAGATTAGAGCGGTAGCTAACAGAAAGCCTACTTTTACTCCCGACAGATGTTGTAGGGAATATTTTAAACATAAAAAAGAGATGCTAGGTAGGAATTGCAGCGGACACTAATAAAAAAAAAGGAACAACATTACACCAATTGATGTGTAATTGAAACAGATGCAGAAAAGCAGAGTTTGAGTATGTTGCCAGCATCGGAATGTTCAACATTCTCAAGAAGTTTGGAAAGCAAAGGCGCTTGTTCAAGGATTCCAACTAGGCAGTTATAGAGCCTACCCTGATCTTTTACGTACCTAAGCAAGCTCTAACTGCTGCACCGCTTACTATTACTCACTTACCTCTTTTCACTTTGCCTGTATTACTCAAATTGTGTTTCTATGCATCTCTTTCTGTTACTTATTACTTGGTATAATGTTATTCCTTTTTCTTGTAGTATCCGTTCGAATTCCTACTTAACATCTCTTTTCTATGTTTACGATATTCCCTGTAACGTCTGTCGTGAATAAAAGTAAACGCTTTTTTAGCAATCGCTCTAGTCTAGTTAGTAAGTTGAAAGGAAAAAGTAAATACGACAGTTTTATTGCGGACAAGGCCAATTTTGAACGTCTCAACTATATACGTATATTCTTTCACTCTCTTCTGTCTTCATTTCGTCCGTCTCATTTTTTCCGTTCAACGACCACCCACTCGTTCCCACGATTCCTAAAAGAGGCTGATGATGGTCTTCCGCTCTATCCTTCAGCATAATACGAAACACATGTCATTTATCGTTGAATAAAATTGGTCCACATGCAATTTGTCAATAAAATGTAACTATACATATTTAACACCTACACAATGAAATAAATATTGCAAATGATCGTCACGCAGATATCAACATTCATACAAATAACGGTCCGATGAAAGAAAAGGTCCTTCTATGCTGTTCTCGTTGATATTATGTTGATAGGTACTTAATTGTTTGTCGTCATATCTGCAGCTCTTTTCAAATTCATCAATAAAAGTATAAATTCATACCGTGGGAGTTGGCAAACAAACAGGAACGATGTGTTGCTTAAATCTGACGTTTCTATCCAACTTAACCAGTGCAACATCATTCCTAAAATCTGTAGGCGAATAAGAAGGATGTACTTCTTTTCGTTCGACGGAGTATTCTTCATGAGCGAGTCTTTCTTCAGTGTCTCGAACATCCCATTCGCCTAATCTAACGCGAATATTCCCGTTAGCCGTTCTAAAAGCAAATAGATAAGCATAAAAAAAGCAGAAATAAGAATGTATTACAGATTCCAAAGTAATATCGTCCTTCACCCACCCGTCTGTTGGATATAAAGTACTTTTTATCGTCGTGTATAAAAATGGTGAAAGCGCCGGCCATTATCATTTAAATTAAAAATATTTTCATTTTTAATATGTTTCTTATATAGATAAATAATTATACGTATGTAATATTATATGAATGGTTCATATATGTGTATGTTACCGGAAATGTATGAAATCCGTCACTGTATACAATTCCTAGGAAATATATACAGTTCCTAAAATCGCCCGGATATGTGTGAAATAAATTATATTATACACATTTCCTAGGAAATCTATACATTTCCTAAATAGCAACCGGAAATGTATTACAGGTAATACCTAAATAGGCAATAATACGGCAGGCTGTTTAGGGATGTACCTATAGGTATCCATTAGTGACGTCATTGTTTGATTAGGGAGATTTATGACAGACTGGAGTTTCCTCAATGCCTTTGCCCGCCGGAGACGGGCTTCTATATTAGATGTTAGAATAATGTGACTAGGTTATATTTGTTTCAGCAAACATGATGACCTTGAATTTTTAGTATGTTGTAGAAGCGATAATGATCATTTTCATATATATTATTTATGGAAATCATAATGAAGCATACTTTTCGAAGACAATATTCCAACATATCAGTCCGCCTCGACTTGGCAGGTACATTAAAGAAACTCTAGACTGTCATAAATCTACCTAATAACCATACAATAACGTCACTAATGCATATACATCTCCAAACCTAACCTAACCAAATAATAACGTCACCAATGCACTAGAACCGCGTAAACACAGATAACTCTGATTCTCACTTTACTAGTTTTATACATTGCCTAGTACAATATCGGAATTTCATACAATTCCTAGGAAATGGATATTTGTATTAAAGAATCTTTGAAACAATATTTTATAGCCTCGGAATTGTATACATTTCCTAGGAATTGTTTCATACATTTCCGGTAACATATATAACACATGTATTGAATGCATAGATGAATTTAATTTTCTTCTAATAAGAAAAGGAATAAGAGACTCAGAAATTTGACTTGACTTGACTGATTTATGGAGCATCGTCGAACTGACCATTTAATAATGTTTCTAAAATATACGTATAAATTACTTACGACGCGACACAATGGGCTGCTGTAACAATCCACCTCTCGTTTAAAAGTGCTCCTCCACAGGCTAATTTTTTGCTTAAAAATCCTGTTTTAATGAGTGCAACTTGCCAGGGATGAGAACCGAATCCTGTCGAATGTCCGCCGACTATTCTGTTCGTTCTTGTGTGCAATTCTCCGCAACCTAGAATAATAAATTTTGCGTCTAATAACTTAATTCACGTCGAATTTTCATAACCATGCCAGAGAATATTCCAAGTTCCATTTGCAAAATAATTGTAATAATATGTCGCTGATTTATTTCGACTGTATTATATCATGTTAAACTAATCGCAAGTATTTTAAATTTACCAGTTGTTTTCATTAATTTTCAATACGTCCATTAAAAAAATATGGCTATCTTTGTTAGTAGTCGATATATAGCTAGTGTGAGTAAATTAGTGCAGAATTTTCTGCTCTTTAATATTTCATCGCATCGAAATTTCTACTAATTCAATTCTCTTCAATTATGTTCTCAATAGCTTCCAATTTCGTTTTAGTTAATAATTTTCAGATAATAGGAATTATTCAGAAAATATCGTGGAATTCACATGTCAAAAGATCCAACTGAAGTTATCAAGTTATCAACAAAATTAAATTTATTTCATTTGAAAGCATATTAAAAATCAATCCATAATTGTTGAAACAGATTTTTGATAAAAGTCAATTGTGCTTTATTTCCAAATTTTCTAGTTCGTTTTAGATGATAAATTACCATTTTTAGAGATCCCTAAATTTTTTTATCAGAGGTTCAAGTACTTCCTCATAATAGAATTTGTTTTTAGTAAATTATTGTTTTTTGACGTTCCAAGGTAAAATACTAAGCCTATTCTAAACAAAATGAATTTACTTACTTTAGTTACCCTATTGGGGATACTAATATCCCCTAGAAATGATTAACGATTTTTATTTCTCAATACTGGCCCTCAATAGAGTATATTTAGAAGTATTATATTTAAATTAAATAGTTAATTTCAGATTTAATATTCTCTTACGTCCAGAATCGCCGGCTGTCTTATCCTCTAAAGGAAAGCTACAGTGAAAATGTAAGACGCTCCAAATATCAATACATATAGTAATAAGAGGCATTAGTACAAGTGTAATTTTGAAAACAAATCATATGCCAATTAGCAGGAAAAAGAGTAATTGAGAGATTTTGACCTACATTTTAAGGAACAAAAGCAATGTTCCTGAGAATGAGGTCAACATCATAAGTCGAAACAGTATACGTATTTAAAATATAATCATAAGGTACATTTTGTAAAAAAATTAAACCTATTCCATTAATTCATTAATAGAAAATAGTATATTATAAACCGTAGCAATTATCATATTATTATGCAACCTAATTTTGAATGAATTTTCGGTATTTTACATAAAAGTAACGAATAAACATACTGTAAGTTTACTTTCACATTGTGAAATTTTAATCGCATTCGCAATTCACAATAATAACAATAAGCAAAGTTACCTTCTGGAACAGTTTCTGGCATATTATCAAAAGATGATTCGATTATATAATGCATATGTAAGCTTCTTATTTGAAAGGGAACATGCGGTGCTATGAAATGTTCATTTGCTTGCAGGAAATTAGAGGTAAGTTGGAGAAATTTGTATGTATATGTACTTGCAGCCTGGTAAACGAAACCTAAAGAGCACTGAAGAAGTGTGAAGACAGAATTTAGAACGGATTTCCGTGAAAGCAAAACAATTCAAAAATTACCTCGTTTAAGTACTTCAGAGAAAGGGATAAAAACTTTCTGTTCACAGCGTCTAATTGCCGAACAATATCGTTACATGTACTTAAATAAATTACATTTCATTTTTAGTAGCAGTCTAAAAGCTGATTTTAATCAAATTTTAAATAACTTCAATTTTAGGTTTCTTTAACAAATTTAAATTCCGAAGTGTCGACTATCGAAAATGGCTTAGTAAAAAAATACGCACGATGAATAAATAAAACAAAATGCCACGCGTTGTCGATATCCAAAAAGATCGAAATCGCGATCCGGGTCTGGTAGTTACGTTAGAACAGTAACTAGGGTTGCCACCTTTTCAGGCTTTTCAAAAGTACTCAGAATAAAAATAAAGTATTTTATTTTTTGGTTTTAAAAACATATTTTTTGTTACACCTA